GTTAAAATATGATTTTGTGACTAGTCCTTATCAAAGTTTTTAACTACCATGAGAAGATGAAAAGAAAACGTACAACAAGTCATATTCACTTCTCATTTGGTTCGATTGGGTTTTCTCCTTTGAAGTAGGGTGAGATGAGATTAGCAGGTAATTAAAATATACTAGTGTGGCTAAACTTAAATAGAAATCCACAAAGGTTAATCATATATGGTAAATTATTATTAATGGACTAATATTTGCAGTAATTAAACCTTGCATAAGGCAAAGAACAATACTTGGATGCATACCCCGATGCATCACACTACCCATCCCGATTGTGATTAACAAATCTTCACCGTAGACAAGTGAATAGTTCATTTCCTATCATCTATGAAAGAAAAAAAATTATTTAATCATTCATTTGTATTGGATAAATCGATAGTTTTGATAACAATTAAAATCCTTATGATGAATTGTCCATTTATTTGATATGTTTGAATGACTAATCGATCTCCAATTGAGATAATCTTTAAATGATGATTTAGAAAATGAATAGTTCTTATTATGACATATGTACAATGAAGATTCATTAATCACAACGAGATGGATATGAAAGTTGCACCATATTGTGCAGTCGAAAGTATTGGTGTAAGGGAAAAAAAAAATACACATAATCAATAGGCTGCTTCTTATATTGACATGTCTATTTTGGGTTTACAAACTACAAATTGGTAGGTAGTTCACCATGAACTGTATTTTGCAATAATGCAATATACAAATTTGAAAATTGAGGCAATGCTTCGATTTTACCTTTCACTCAAACTTGTCCATTATAATGAAGACATTTGCAGTGCGTGACAATGACCAGGACGTCCTCATTACGACAACCACAAGCCGATAAAGCACCCAATATTAATTAAACAACTAAAAACAAAGGACGAAAAGAACCCTAAACCCTTAAAATCTAGGCTAATTTTTATTTTTTAAAGAGCAGAACTTATTCTTCATTCACAAATTAATATGAAGATCGTGACAAGTAAAAGCAAAACAATCCATTAGACACTGAGGGCATGTTTACGTATCAGTAATAGAGAAAGTAAGAAATCATAGAATTTAGAAATCGGAGAACTACTGAATCGATACGGGAATAATCATTCGCATTAAGCTGTTTACTAAACATATGGAATTAGCAAAGGAATGGGATTGATTCTCATTGTCATTGTTTACTAATTTGCATGAATCAGAATCCAAATTAATTTTAGAATTATGGTAAAGTGGTAAGGGTATTTTTGGAAGTTATTAAGAGAAAACAAGAATGGGAATCGTATCGACTACTCCCCCTAGTTGATCTGATACCTAGTTTTGAGGGAATGTGATTACGGATTTTGAGGTAGGGCCCACTTATTTTTTCATTCATGATTGCAAGTAAACGTAGGAAAAGTCAGGAATGGAAATCATTCTCTTTCCTCCCATACCCATTACTGATACGTAAACATGTCCAGGGTTGCTTTCTGAATAAAAAGAATCATACTAAAACAAAATATTGTTATCGTATCATAGCTCAAGTAGATATAAGAGTAGTTACTCATGTACCTGAGTTATGTGTTACAATCTCCCACCCAATATTGCTTATAAATAAATTTAAAAAACAAACAAAAAAAGAACAAAACATCGGTCTGGTGATATCATGATGAAATTATTAAACAAGTAAATAATGAGATGATCTATAATCATCAATACGACAAGACTTTTTATTTTTGGTTATAATGACACATATTATTTAGAGTAACACAATTTTCACTATACTAAAATAAGAGAGAGGTGTTCTCACGAAATGAGTCTTTTTAAGTGAATTTCATATAAACATGGACACGGCTAGTATGATGCTAAATGTAACTCAAAATGGTATGAACACCAGAAAACCTTTTTCCGCATATGATATGAGTCTATTTCATGTTATCTTCATTAATTGCATTCTCCTCCCCTTTCTTTTTCTAGCCAAAGTAAAAGAGTATATTAAAAAAATAAAGTTGTAATTCAATACGTTGAAATCATGTTGGGACTCTTTAAAAACAAATTGTGAGATTTTACGGATAATGCTAATTATTAGTCATACTAGTTTAATGGTAGTAAACCCTATTCATTTAACCTAGGAAAAGCGATAGGATTTTATTAATAAGAGGATAAAGAAATTAAGCATAACTATGTTCTAAAGGATTAGGCGAGTTGCTCTACACATAAGGGTTCAATCATCAGACTAACCAAATAGCCTACCCTCTTAACATTAAAGAGGAAGAATGAATCTTGCCCATGACAGAGTACCCCATCCTCCTAAAATCATACCCGCAAAATTATTAGTTACAATTCTCAAATAAAACATCACATATAAATTTTTGGGAGAGACCTCAATGTTTAAATTGAAGTAATTCAAATTTTCTAATACAACCAAATTTGGTTAGAGACTTATTATAAGAAAACTCTGGATTAAAAAAAATATAAAAAAAAACTTTGAAAAGGGAAAGAAAGAAAGACACCCGCTGCACATGAAACACGGAAATAATAAATTAGTTAAGCCTTCCAATAATTGCGCTAAAAATCAACGAGACAAATTTTGAAGACACACACACGCAAGGCCAAAATATACAATCCATGGCGGGAAGAGAGAGACTGGTTGTTGAGAGAGATACTACGATGAGGACAGACTGATAGAGAAACCTGGCGTATGAAATGAAGCCGACTGAGGAAAATAAAGTGGGCCCCGCATGCATGGCAGTGACGGGCCCCACTTCCTTTCAGATGTGGTTGAGGTGGAGAGGAAAGAAGGAAAGAATCAATTTGCTGATGCGGATTCTAACCGATTTCCAGTGTCCGCCACATCAGCGATTTCGTGTTCTCCCAGCGGTCACCCACACCCACGTGTCGTTTTAGTTTTCTTGTATCTGTCTGTATGCGCAAGGCCAGGTTCAGTTGGTTTTAAATGATCCAGAGAACATTGCGTATGGAAACCCTGCTACCAACAGATCAGTGCAAGATAAGCCTCAGGGCGTAGTTTTTTATTTATTTATTTATTGTTTTGTAACATTTGTAAGTTCCCAGTTAAACTTGAAGGAGAGTCAATGGTATGAAATTTCGGAAATTTCCCCGTATATGAAAAGTTTATATCTATGAATTATCAAGAGTCGATTTGTCAAATATGGTAACGCAATTTCATACATATTTTCAAAAAATTTAAATCGTGAACCAAACGAACTCTTAATTGAGAGACTTTTGGATTTTCTCCATATAGTTTTATAAAATGGGAAATGTTTGTGAAATGCGAATTATCACAATCTTTTCTAAGAGAAAGAAAGAAAAAAGTCACAATTGCTTGTTTAATTAAGATTGCAATAAAATCATAACTTGCTTCATATTGTACCGAGGACATGTAACCTAATCTGATTATGAAATTAGCACCATAAAAAGTGAATCACGTAAAAGATATATTAGGGCATGTACAGTTTCTCTCGTGCCGTTATTGAATGAGGTCATGTTCGTGAAGTTGTTCATCAAATTTGATTGATTGTGATATATATGATTTAATCGTTAAGAAGATGAATCTAACTTCCTTATTTAAAGTCATACATTATGATAACTAAACTAATTAACTTTCTTATTTGCCAACGTGGTTTAGTCTTGAAAAAAAGTATTGACTTGCATATTTTGATGTCGTCATAAATTCCAAGTTCACATTCCACCTGACCACGAATGTAATTTCTAAAATTCAATGACAATGCCAACGTGGTAGCCCAATAAAGAAGGATTTTGACTTACAGACCAGTAGTCTCAAGTTTGAACCCCCATGGTACATTGATAATGTGTGTATGAAATTTTTAATTTTAAAGATATACATATAATAAGTTGCAAATGGTGAGTTTTGGTATAATACAATTATGATGATGTGGACTTATTAAAATTCATTAGATCAATCTAATGGTTAACATCCTTTTAAATACGTGTAAATGCACGAATGCTAAATATAGAGGCTCGAGATCCATTATTTATATTAAAGAAATTCCAAAACAATGAATTTGAAGAAAAAAGAAGTTAAAATCATCGTCGCATCCACCCCATCCCCATCCCCATCCCCATCCCCACCATCTTCTCCACCTGAACTTCAACCACCACCTCATTTTCATTACCATCCCTACTATTGCGACCACCATCATTATATTTGCCACGACCTTGAACACCAGTGACCGGTACAATCAATCACCACCCCAATCTCGTCACCAGAACCATGACCACCATCGTCATTGTCATAACCACTGAACCATTACCACAACTATCACCACTTCTCATTTATAGATTATACTTCATATAGATAAATTTTATATTTCATACCCATTGTATTTAAAGACTTACCCGAATAATATCTTAGAACCTTTACGACGCACCATGGAGGAAAAGAGGTTTCCAATATTTGAGAGGATGCCATTGGGTAGGTAGTAGTCAAGTGGCGGAAGCTACAATGACAGAGGAAAAGAGAGGGATGAAAAAGACAAAGTAAGTGGCGGAGTTCTCACACACAAACACTTCTCACGACTATTTTTCATTGAATTAGATCCCGTTAATAGAAGTATAAATGTTTTAAAAAAATTCTTTTGTGAAAATTGGAAAATTAAATGACGAAGTTCATCTTTAAAATAACTTCAGAAAATAAGAATACACAAATTCTACGATGTGCGGCAGCCCACTAGATTACAAGAATGAAAGGTTGCAATGATAAGGACATTTCCCATTAAAGAAAAGGAAAAAGTGATTTTACATCAGAATAACTTGTGAAGGAAACTTATCTTATTTAATAAATATAAAATTATAAGATATTAACATATAATATTCATTTATACTTTTATTTTCTCCCTCAGTGTACCTAAATTTAATGCGCGGTAGAATATAATTCAATCGTAGATACCAAACGAGAATGTTACACAATTAAAGACTAAATAAATATTAATTAAAAGAAAATTAGAAAACCTCTTGAGGCCATTTTAGTAAAACCAGAACCCGAGATGCATTTCTATAAAGACTCCCCACATCAAGGATCTTTAACATGTTGGCACCCCAGCATTCGGTTCTGGTTTTAAGCTGAGTCAGTGAGTCACGCATGGAGCCAAAAACTGAAACAACCATTGTGCAGTAGAGCCTCAAATGAAGCTCAGTAATGGCGCTAATGGCAACCAGAACAAAGCTCTTTAGGCTGCTGACGACTCTCACTACGAAAGCACCAATTTTGGGATCTGGGTCTTGCTCCAATGGCGTTAAGGGACCGGTTAGGGTCGACCGGGGCGGTGGGCTCGGGTTGACGGCCTATTCGACCTCTGCTGTGGCACAGCAAGAGCCAGGGGTCGTTGGGTCGAGGCACATGGGGTTGGAGATATTGGGTGTGAAAGATTATGAAGATTATAGGAGGTCTCTTTATGGTGAAATCACCCACAAGGCTCTGCTTGTTGATGCTGTTGGCACCCTTGTTGTTCCTTCCCAGCCAATGGCTCAGGTTCCCTCTCTCTCTCTCTCTCTCTCACACACACACACACACACTTTACATGCACAGCTAAATATTTATTGCTCAATGTTTCTAAGTATGCGTTGAACTTTTGGGTTTCTGGGTTTGTATATCTATGAATTGAATTTTTTGGGTTTCTGGTTTTGTATATCTATGAATTGAAGTTTGTGGTTCTTGTTTCTTTTCCTATTTTTAGTTTCTTTGTTTTTCCATTTTGTGTTTTGGGCTAAATTTATACATAAATGGTGAAAATCCAAGAACATACTTTACTGCGCATTTTGTATGGAGGTATTTATAAATTATATGTATAAATATTGGTTTTTTGTGCATGCATTGAATTCTTGGTTTTTGTGTGGCAGAATTGGATTTCTGGGAAATTTCCTTTTAAAATTATATTGTGCTTGTGGTTTTGTAGCATAGCAATTATTGGGTTTGCAAGTTTGTGGAGTTTTTTAATTTTATTTATATATATATTTTTATTTTTTATATATAATGTTTTTGCGCTATTATCTGTGTCTCTATTTCTTTGCTGACATATTGTTTATTTTTCTGTTGATATAGATATATAGGAAGATAGGCGAGAAGTATGGAGTGGAGTACTCAGAGGCTGAGATTTTGAACAGATACAGAAGGGCTTACGGGCAGCCTTGGGGTAGATCTCGTCTCAGGTCTCTTCCCGTTTTTATTCTCCATTTTTCTATTTTTTTTGTTCTTATACTGGGTGATAAGGTTTGCAATAATCCATTTGAGTGTAAATTTTACGTATTTACTTTTTGATTCACCATGGTTATCATGAATTTCTGTCTCCTCTTAGTTCTTGCCTGATTTAGTTTCTGAGGAGTTGTTCAGAAGTGTTGCACTTTCATTTTATGGGATAGAAATAATTAAATCAAATTTTGCCTTTAATAGCTTTGATATTGCATCCTGGAAGTTAGCCGAGAAGCTAATTTCATAAACTTTGTTTTTCTAATTTTTATAACATTAAGTTGGCAAGTTTCTATTAGTAGTGATTTGATGCTTCGTCGCATTTTGAGAAATATATTATCGTAGAAATTTCCCTGTCTATCCAATATGTAATCAATGGGTTGGTCAAGTAGAAGAGTTCGTTTCCTTTCTTTTCTGTTTAGTCTTTAATCTTTCCTTAAGTTAAATAAAGAAGTTTAGCAGTAGTTCTGTCATGTTTGGAGTGAATTCTCTGATTTTCTTTTTGATCATTAAAGTGAGCATTTTACTCTTATTTCATTGCAGATATGTAAATGATGGGAGACCCTTCTGGCAATATATAGTCAGTTCTTCCACTGGCTGTTCAGATTCCCAGTACTTTGAAGAACTTTATAACTACTATACAACTAACAAGGTTTGACATTTTATAATTACCATTATCTGTATAGCAATATAGAAGTCAGAATTGGGTTATGATATTTTTCACTGTGTTTTCTCGTAGGCTTGGCACCTCTGTGATCCTGATGCTGGGAAAGTGTTTCAAGCTCTGAGAAAAGCAGGTGTCAAAGTAGCTGTTGTGTCAAATTTTGATACTCGATTAAGACCTCTTTTGCAGGCTCTAAATTGTGAACATTGGTTTGATGCGGTAGCAGTGTCAGCCGAAGTAAGTGAATTGCTTAGAATCTTTTAGCAGTTTGCATGTGTTTTGCCCCTCTCTCTCACTCACACGCGTAACGCAGACAAGAAGAAAGCTTATTCGGATTTTCAGAAATTCCATATTTGTATTATATAAATAATAATAAATATTGGGAGAGTTTTTTTTTTTTTTAAAATCTATGGGTATGTATGTCTGGTAGCAAAGCTATTGCTAGTATCAATCATTATGCGATTGCTGATGTTATGATTTTCTCTTATGAACAGGTTGAAGCAGAGAAGCCAAATCCAACAATATTTCTTAAAGCTTGTGAATTATTAGGAGTAAAACCTGAGGATGCGGTGCATGTGGGAGATGATCGTAGGAATGATATATGGGGTGCCAGAGATGCAGGCTGTGATGCTTGGCTTTGGGGAAGTGATGTTCACTCCTTTAAGGAGGTATGTCTCTCATCACATTTCTTCTAAGGGAATTTTAAGTGTATATTATGCTGTGCAATTTAGTCTCTAGAAAATCTTCCAGGAACAGTTTGATCAGTCTACCCTGGTTCAGATTTTTTAAATTAACACTTCACATTGTGCAATGTGAGGAAAAAAATTTCTTCTCTGTCCCTGAAGTTGCTTCCAATGCAACCTTTTGATTGGGGAAAAACCTTTTTTCACTCTTCTCCACAACTTTACAGAATTTTCACCTACCATAGCTGCTCCATTTCTAGAATGTGTGAGTCCATATTTTTCTTGAAGTCGGGATCTTGGATTCAGTAGAAATTTAAACTACCCTGATTTTGGGGAGCTTCCTTCAGCTAGCTCAGACAGGGGGAGCTGCATTTTGGAGTCTGCCTCATAGCATTTTACTGTTTGTTCAATTTTCTGAACTTGTGGATCCTATACACTTGTTTAAGGACCATAGAAACGTGTGTCAAACTCTCTTGGCATTCATCCTCCTTGTCGTTATTGTTGTCCTTGTCATTCTTGTTTTTGTCATTTCGTTATTTTCTAGTCATCCTCATTCCTGAATATGTATTTATGCATATCTGTGATTTTTTATATTTAGTTTAACACTCTTCCTCATTTGGTGGCCCGACTTGGATTTGATTGGAGTTTAGTCCAAGCCAGTCCTTATGAGTCCCGCCCCTATAGGTGGGACTTGTAAGCTGGACTGTTGTCTAATTTAAAAGTCCAGCCCCGCACACCAAACAACGGCCGGGACTCTTGTCCATTTTAATTAAAATATTCCAACCCAACATTCATGGTTAATAACAGTTTGATTACTTTTCTGCTGATGCAGGTGGCTCAGAGGGTAGGGGTCCAAGTTTAAAATGATGTCTCATGCAACATGAATGATGCTCTCCCTGTACAGGTTTCTTTAGCTCCAATGGGGGCGTTATGTATATTTGTGCTTTGCTGTAATCTGTATAAGACGTGAGGCTAGAACGCTAACTTGAAGCATAAAGAGAAAATAATGTAAGACATCTATGTCTTTTTTTTGTGTGTGTGTGTGTGAAAATGGTGTGCAATTTCTATACTTGTTATCATACGTTAATGTTTCAAAATGGGACCTAATTTAAAGCCAACAAAAATAGAAAAGACACTGGAGCAATTTCTGTGTCGATTCAAGCTAGGGCAAGCATTTCACCATATAAAAGGGTTTAAGTTCATACTCAAAACAACTTTTGACAACTCAAATACTTACACAAGCAACATCTCTTACTCAGATTTGAGCCTTTTGTGGCTTGGTTTTTGAGGCTTGAATAGCTCAGCCAATTTTCACATTGGTGTTGATTTCCAATTGATTTTCATCAATTGAATGTGATGCGATCTTCTTTTGCAGTACAGTTTTCACCAAGATTCTAGTTCCCGCAAGTTATTTTTCTCGTTATTTTTATTCTTCTATTTATTAGGGTTTTTACAACTAATAGTGGCATACTTGCAATTAAAACAATCTCTTGGCCTAATTACAAGTAGATTTGGGGTAAACAAAATTCAACTAAACCAAACCAATTTAAGATGTTTTTGGCCGATGTGGGTCTAAGCACAATTATTTTTTCTTTTACATTTTCTCACCCTTGTTAGCCCAATTAAAAACAGAAATAATTCAAAATATGTCACACATTTTTCAATTTTTAGCATATAAAATAATCCTAAAATACAACACGTTATAAAATTTATAAGTTTAATAATATAGTTGCAATTCAAATATAAATAACTTCAAAGTTAAACTTTAAATTCAATATCCTTAGAGCACCTCCACCCCAAAGGGCAAGGGCAAGATAAGGCAAGGTTTGTCACTATTCACGTGAATAGTGGTAGCCTTTGCCTTTTTTATTTCCACCCCAAAAGGTATGTGTAAGGGCAATTACTATTCACTTGAATTAATTTTCTAATTTAATTTTTAGTATTTAAACCATTAATTTTGGTGTGGGAAGTGAAGAATATGACTATATATATATATATATATATATATTAATCTGAAATTTTTGGTATTTTTTAAGATTTTTTTTTCGTTGCTGACATCATTAATGACATCAGCAAACCCAAACAACAGCCCAAGCAAGATTTGCCTTTGGGCCTGCCTAGGCTTGTGGAGTCCATAAGCTGCCTAGTCTTCTGTTGCACGCTGGAGACCAAGCCTTGGCCCTAGGCCCCCTCCTGCTCGGGCAAATTGGGAGCGTTGGAGGTGCTCTTATAATTCAATGAGAGGACTACATTTGTAAAATAAAATAATATACAAGTAGATAGTCCTATTCGATTTAATCTGATTTGCTAAAGCTCAAAATTGAACCAAACCATTACCGTCCAGTTGGGTTCTTAAATCGTTTGACAATTTTCTTGTCAAAACCAAATAAAACCATCCATTAGGGTTTGGATTGGCCGGTTTAGTATGTCTGGTTGAATTGATGCCAACCCTTATGCATTACTCTATATATATATATATAAAAGCGAGCTCAAAGCTCAAATCAAAATTGGGGCCAAAAAGCTCAAGCTTGAAGTCCTCATCTTGCCTTCTAAGTCTGGCTTGACTCAGTTCGAAATTTTTGAAAAACCTAATGGACTATGTATGACTCACATCCAAACTCAATATTTTTGGCTTGGGCTGACCTGATGTTTGGACTATATATATCTTGTCGGCGGTATGATGTTTGAATTTAAATTGGCTATATAAGCATTAATCCATGTTTGATCCTATTATGGTTGCTTGGCCTTCATAATTAGAAAAAGGCCATAAGGCACCTACTTATGCATGTACCATTTAGCTTTAAACAATCACAGCCGCAAGGCTTTGGCTTGCTTCAACCATGAAGCTATTTAGGAAGCATGCACATGATCTCAATGTCTATATATAATAGGGATCTGATTTCTCCACTCTTCTTTTCTCTACTTACACTCTCTTTTGCTTTTTAATACTTTTTATTTATTTATTTATCAATTTTGTTCTTTCTCTTTCCTATTCTATCTTTACCATGCATTTTTCTTTTTACTTCACTTTTATATTAGTTCTTTTTCTTTATACTTAATTTTTCAAATTACACTCTATTTTTAGTTGTTTTTTCCTTTAATATTGAAAATGGAGTGTAAGTTGGAAAATTATGTATAAAAGAAATAATATAAAAGTGAAGTAGAAAAGAAATTAATTTAGGGTAAGGGTAGAATAGGAAAGAGAAAGAACAAAATTGATTTAAAAAATATTAAAAAGCAGAAGAGAGTGTAAGTGGAGAAAATGGGAGTAGAAAAATCAGCTCCCATATAATATACAGTCTCATTCTCCTGGACTCTAGTGTGCAAGGAATTAGTTGTCACTCAACCTTGGATCTGATCTAAGGGTGGATAAAAAATAAATTTTATATTATTTTCAATTAAACAAAACATGTTTCCTAAAAAAGAAAAAAAAACACAACACTTCTCTTCTTGCACCAAGAAACCATCATTTCTTTTTTAGGGTTGTGTACTTAAGGTTGCATGCAGCAGCTGCAAGGTTTCTGAGAAGTGTTGTAGGAAGAATTTGGTGCAAGAAACCATCATTTCTCATCTGGCCCAATTGAAAAAGGTCATGGCTGAGAATTGAGACAAGCACGATGAAGCCTACGCCATCTGACTTCAATGCGAGTTCCCTAGATATCTTCTGGGCCCTCTTTACTCACTTCAACCTTTAGATGAAGTGGTGAAAACTTGGGTTGAGCAAAGTGACGATCATCTACCTTACACAGTTTGGTTGATCATCGACTTGGGAGAGTTCTAAACCTTTCAAAGGTTGGCCATATGGGTATACTTCTAAGGTCGATCTTGTGGCAGGACAAAATTCCATGGCCAAAAAACTTACTACGGTGGTTGACAACAATTCTAAGTGAGATTGGTATGATTGGTTTAAAGCTATGGAACCAAAATTGAAGAACATCTTGCAAAACATTGCCATCTACAATGTGCTAGTCCTCTGCGCCAACGGAACCTTTCCTTACGATCGACCACTTATCATAGCAGGCATATGCTTTTGGTTGACCTCCACTAATTGCATGAGAGTTTGGTTTGGGATAACGACTCCTACTTGACTTGACTTGTGTTTCCCTCTTTTCAGCCAAGATGGTTGACGGAAGGAAATTTTGTTCCTTCTTTTCTTGAGTTTTTTAGGTGTGCCACCACCAAGTCACCAAATGACTTGGATGGAAAGAATTGGACATATATGTTGCTCTTTTGACTTTTGATCAAGTGATTGATCGGCCAAGCAAGGAACCTCCTCTTGGCCTAGGTTCTTTTACTTCCTCGGGCTCGGGGATGGTTAGGCTTCATATGGATGTTTTGTTGTTGTGATTTTTAGGTTTTTTTATAATGAAAATGGTGCAATTGAACTAAAACGTAATTTAAACTAAATGGTGATAATTAAAGTTCGATAAAATAGATTAAAGCGATAAATAAACATAAAGTAAAGCAAGAATGAAATAAGAATAATAAAGTAAATTAAACTTAATAAAAATTTGATAACAATGAAAAATAAAGCAATTTAAATAAACTTGAAGTTAAAAGCAAGAAAATATAAATTACAATAAAGTAAACTTACACTAGGAAAAATAGAAGAAAAAAGCTCAGGCTAAAGGTAGAATGCTTACTTTCTCATTCTTGATCATTTCATTGTTTTTTCCTAACATTTCAAAACTTATAGTTGATGCTGCTGAGAAGGAGTGTTCCACTAACCCCGCCGATTCTAATTCTGATCGAGGCGAGAAAAGGCCACATGCCTCCACCCAAGGAAAGTCATTCTCCATGTTTAATGATTTGCTAAAAACTTATATCCGCAGAACCTTTTGCCCCCAAATTTGGCTGCACCTTTAAAAAAAAAAAAAAAAAAAACCTTCAATTTGTAGGTTCATCAAGGTTAGTGGAACAACCTAACTTATGCCAATCGATTATGGCAACGCAATCAGCCACTTCTTCGTTCGTTGCTTCGGTAAGCCTCTTTTATCTCTACATATTTTTATTTACTAATTTTGAGGGCCTTGACTTATCTTTATGCCTCAAATTATAAGAAGCTCAACTTCCCATGTTTGAGACAAAAGTTGGAGCATATTATGAACTCCGAGCATGAGATCGGGGTAAGCTCTTCTCCTCCACCACTTGAGTTTTTATTTTTTCTTTGCGTAGCATTTCTTTCATATTTACCAAAATTCTCAAACTTAGTTGGCCGACACCTATACCTCGAGACACCTGGACGAAGCTCCCACGGAGTCACATGAAACGGACCAAATGTCTGGAGGTTGTCCTATGAAGCCCGAGGCCATGCTGACCAAGGAGGACTTCCCTCACATGCAGAATCACCGGTACTTCAACATTTTCAAGTTTTTTTTTAATTATAAAACTTCTTTTACATATGCTCCCAAGTTCTTACTTGAACATTTAAATATTTCAGAGGACTTATGTTGGACCCAAGTATGTCTCGGCCGGTTCGACGACCACTGAGGTTGAGCACCAACACTTCTTCACCATGAATTCAGAACCTCCTTTGAGCCATCCTTTTGAGGAGGTCCCCGAAGACCCAATTCCTCAGGTAACTTTACTACACCTTATTATTATTATTATTTTTCCAAAGTTCCAAAGTTTTTAGAAAATTTACATTCTTCTTTTTAGGCAAATATGGTAGATCCTCATGCTACCCTGGTCGACCAGGCAACTGTCATCAACAATGTGTATGAGCTAACTTCCACCATTCCCCTTAATGGAGACACAAAACTTGAGCCTATCCTTCTGTTGACATTAGAAGCTCCTACAAGACCCTTAGCAAGTGGCATAGGCCATGACGTGGTTTTGATGTTCTGCACCATGCTAAGGCAAGCCAAAGGTGCATATAAGGTGCACATGAGAAGCATAACAATGTCAGAACAAGTGAGCTTTGGGCTGGGTATAGGCATCAAAACTTGGCAGCAGTGCAGCAAGACATAGCAGTCAGCACAGCAGCACATGGCAGGGCTGGGACATGCAACATGCAACGTAGAT